AATAGTAACAGCAGCAGCAACAACACCAACAACAATAACAACAATAGTCGCAACAATAATAAGAAGAAGAACCAGAAGAGCAAAAACCATAATAACAACCACAACCACAACAACAACCACAACCACAACAACAACAACAACGACAACGACAACAACAACAACAACAATCATTTTACCCGAACGCTCAGTGTTCTCACCAGTGCCAGGGTTTTCATGCGACGCGAGACAATACCCCCACTTCGTGGGGGGGCAGTTCAAGCTCTACCAAATATCCAAACGACTCTTCGCGACCACCCAAACCCAGCTTCCCGCCCTATGACGTTGGGACACTTCACTTCGTGGCGTGCGGACGACCGTGGCTACTACACTGGCGTGGGGTACACACCCACAGAACTTGGTCACTTATTCGGGGCGCGCGTGTGCCCAGCATCCTGCAATTGTGACATACAATACATGACACAGACAGACAGAGAGAGAGACAGAGAGCAGACAGAGAGAGAGACAGAGAGAGCGGAGTTGGTCACATTTTTGGGGCAAGTTCCTGAGATCGTCGTGTTTTTTGTTGGTCTTGCGCGCGCGAATGTCCACTTTACTTTTTTTTTGCAAGGGAGTATTGAAATTTGATTATGTTAGAACAAGAAAAAGTAGCTCGCGCGAGCTCATGTAACATAAATGTTGAAAAACCAGAGTCGGACAGCGCGCGCGGAATGAAATTTGGACATTTTTTTTTGAAAAACCAGTGGGTTTTTGATGTTTTTATGTTGAAATCGTTACGAAACCTAAGGTTCTGGAAGGATTTCGTCTTGCGCGCGCGAATGTCCACTTTACCTTATTTTTTGCAAGGGATTATTGAAATTTGATTATGTTAGAACAAGAAAAAGTAGCTCGCGCGAGCTCATGTAACATAAATGTTGAAAAACCATTGGTTTTGTGGGATTCGGACAGCGCGCGCGGAAGGACATTTTGACAATTTTTTCTTAAAAAACCATTGGGTTTTTGATGTTTTTATGTTAAAATCGTTACGAAACCTAAGGTTTTGGAAGGATTTCGTCTTGCGCGCACGAATGTCCACTTTACCTTATTTTTTGCAAGGGATTCTTGCAATTTGATCAAGTAAGAACAAGAATTTTCATTTCTATTGTTTTTTGCAAGGGAAAACGGGGGGGAACAAAACAACCGGATCCGGACACAATCCACTTTTCTGAAGCTTTCGCGAAAAAATGATGAAAATGTAGCTGCGGCCTAGGCGCGGCGCAGAGGTCGCGCACCAGGGGTCCCAACAATAATAATTCTTTAGAAGGAATAATATTCAACAACAACAACAACAACAACGACAGCAACGACGACGACGATGACGACGACGACAACGACGACGGCAACAACAGTTCCCGCCTGATACTTCTTCATCACGTGTTCAGGAGTCGCGCCCTCGCTCGAACGAGACCTCCTCCCCGCCACTCAGGAGCTGCCCTTTCGCCCACGACCCCCCATAGCGAGCTTCGGCGTCGTGCCCTCGCCCGCTGCCGCCCAAAAGACCTCTCCAAGAGCTCGCGAGGCCACGCCCCGCCCGCCCGCTCCGCCCGTCGGGGCCCGCCCGCTCCGCCCGCCCAGCCCGGGCCCCCGCCTGGCCCGCCCGCGCTGCGCTCCCCACCCGCCTCGGGCGGCCCCGCGTGCACCCCGCCCGCTCGAGCGACCTGCCCGCCAGGTCCCGCCCAGCGGGGCCCGCCCGCCCGACCCGCCCCCTTCCGCTCCGCCCGCCCGACCCGCCCGTTTTGCTGCCCTGTCGGAGCTCACCCCGAAGAGCCGGCACGAGAGAGGAGCTCCAGCCAAAAGGGGCGCAGGCATCCGAAAGAGGGGGCGGGAGTCGAGCCTCGTGGCATGCAGCTGCCGACTGACACGCGACGAGCGAAGAGGTAACAGTCTTAGAAGGATCGCTGCTGCTGTCGTCGTGGTTGTCGTCGTCGTCCCCCACGACCCGCCACGCGCCACAGCCTCGACCCACCCGAAAGCCACGACCCAAGTGCGACCCGTGCGCGACCCGCCCGCGACCCACTCGCGACGCTGCTCCAACCGAGTCGGCGCCCGCGGCGGGCCGACCCGCCCAATATTGCCCTCCAGACCTATGTTGTTCCCATCGCACTTAAGGACCACATCCCAGAAATATGTTCGAGCACCCAGGAAAGTATCGAAACGGTGCCTGCCCGACATGCTAGCGAAAGGCCCGACGCGAGAAATCTCTCCAATTTTGGCACTTCCCTGGTGCTCGAAACTCTCTCTTATGATCAAGGCTGAATTAGGTCGGAACATCATAACTCGAGACCTGAAGCGGGGCCTGCGGCGGGCTGTGCTACACTGACCCCGAAAAGCACAAATTGTGCACGCTCGGCGACGCGACCAGGCGACGACGCCCCCTGCGATGCCATTCGGCGGCTGCGGCGGGCCGGCTCGCCCACACGGCCTTCAAAAACAAGCACGGCGCCTACGGAAAACAGCTCGGGCGCCCCGTCACACTCATACGCAAGGGGGGGCAACTCAAAATTCCGCTGCACATCCACTGAAATGAAAATTCCAGAAAGCAGGACACCTTTACATCCTGGGCGCGTCCTCAAGAATACTCTCGATGACGAAACAGACTCTGACTTGGCAAACTCGGCGAGGATTGCCAATAGGTCCCCGCCTCGTGCCAAGGACCTCGATCCACCAAGGCACGAGGAGCCGAGACTCCCAACTCTCCGGGACCAACAAAAATGTTCGCGACCTGGCTGACATGAGCAGGTGGACAACGAGGACAAGGGCAAGGACATTGAAGTGAACGAGGTAGGAGATCTATCCCTATTCACCCCTGTGCTTCCGCCCAGAGGACCTCCAGGGGCCAAAGGGGGCACAGTGATACAGGAAGCAAGCCTCCTCCTCCTCCTCCTCCTCAACCTCGTTATCCGCCTCATCCTCCTCCCTCCTCCTCCGCCTCCTCCTCTTCCTCATCATCATCGTAATAATCCTTCCTGGTCTCTCGTCAACTCTCCCATCCTCCTCGTCCTCTCCCATCATACTCGTGCTCTTCTTCCCTTCCTCATCCTCCTCCTCCTCCTCCTCCTCCTCCTGCTCCTCCTCCTCCTCCTCGTTCCTTCTCCTCATCCGCCTCGTCGGCGACCTCCTCTTTTGCTCGGCAGCGAGTTGCGCGGCCTCCTCGCGTTACCATGAACGCAAGACACTAGCAACCAAGAAGAAGAGAACGAGCCACCCCGCACGCGCGCGCAAGGAGGGCTCTAACAGGTGAGGGGAAGAGGCGTCGATGGGGCATGCCCCAGAGACAGCCTCACCGAAGCCACGCGGAGAACCGCTCAGGAGGGGAATGACCCGACCGTACCCCGAGGATCTCGACGCTTTAACCACGCAGCCAGCAACGGCGACGCATGGGGAAGGCAAAGAGAGCATGGGCATGGGCCAGGAGACTCCAGCGCAGAGAGAGGTAGAAGGCCACGAAGGAAGATCGACATCCTCCTCCTCCTCCTCCTCCTCCTCCTCGTCATCATCATCACCACCACCACCACCACCATCATCATCATCATCATCATCAGCATCATCATCATCATCTTTCCCCATATTCCCCACTCCCTGCTCCCTCCTCCCTCCTCCTTCCCGATGTTGAACATGCGGCACGCTCCGAGCCAAGTTTGTTACAGCTACCGAAGCTAGCCCATTCTTCACAAGGATACCCGAGAGGGCACTAATGTCTAGACAGGTCCGCACTGTGCACACATGAGGTCAGATGCTAGCGGGCGGCTTTACGCCCCACTTTGCCGAGAGAGCACCTGGCCTTTTGCCCCGCTCAAGATTATTCGCCCCACACGCCTGCCCACAGCATGCCTACAGAGGACAGGCTGGGCCGCAGCATCGCATCTGCCCAAACCAACACGCTATCCCCTCATCCCCGACTCCACATACGTATCTGAAATACCCTGCCCATCTCCCTGAAGCACGAATACACGGGCAGCAGGAATTCACATGCCTCCCGTCGAGGAGGCTGAAACCCTCGCCCGGGACAGGCGACTGGGCCAACCTGTGTGTGTGTGTGTGTTTCCCCTTCAAGCTATGGTGCCCTTTCTTTCCCCTCGCACCGCTCGCGCCGTCCCCGGAGGTCCGCATCGCGCCCGCGTATCTGTCGCACTCTTGGGCGAGGCCTCTGAGTTCGGCCTTTGCGGACCCACAGGGGCACGTGCACAGCCATTCCCGCATGGAATCCAAAGCCTCCCTCCCTCCTCTCCTTAAGCACAAGCGGCTCAAAGCTTGACGTAACCATACCAGTTGCGGTAGCTACTAAGCCGTGCCCAGCGACTCCATCGCGGGGCTTCAGGGACTCTCAGGATCCAGTCGTCGAGGCTCTAGTCTGCGAGAGGTGCCCGGGTCGACTAGGGGTGTGCAGGTACATGAGGGTCAGGCTGCGTTCTTCGCTGCGGTTGATCCGCCAGGCATTGTCCTCGCACTGGTACGTCCTCGCGACCTGCGTACAGAAAGGCGTTGGTTGGGCCCTTCCTGCCAGTGCACACAGAGCGGCGTCCCATCCGCAGGGAGAGCAGGCGCTCGAGGGCTTGTGCCCATGAACAACCCACCCTGCGGCAGCACTTCAATGGCTTGCGCTTGGCTTCTCGAGTTCTGATTAAACAGAATGTCGGGACGAATCGTATGTTTGCTCAATGTTCGTCGCCTCTCCTTGCCGATCATGGTGCACGTAGGATTTATGTTCCCCTGCCCGTTTGCGTGCGCGGTGGTGTGCGCAGGCTCTTCCCCTGCCTGGCGGTTTGCTTGCAAGCTGTGGTTCCAGGCAAACACTTCTGCTTCGAGGTCGTCCCCTCTTCTCCTGCCTCTCCCCCGCCCTCGCTCCCTCCCTCCCTCCCTCCCCCCCTCCCCGCCAACACCCTTCCCCCCCCTCCTCCTTCTCCTCCTCCTCCTTCCTTCCTGCACCCCTGTCGTCGCAGACCCGCCGTCGTCGCCACCGCGGCCTCGAGGCCCCAGAAGCGCACTGCCAGGAAGCCTTGCAAAGGCCCCGGCCGCGCGAGCTGCAGCAGGATATCCACCTCGTCCTGCAGTCCGCCCGGCTTGGGCCTCTCCATCTTCACTGCCACCTGGAGGAGGAGAACGAGGAGGAGAAGGAGGAGGAGCCCAGGATGAGACAAACATGCTGCAGCGCATGCACCCGTGCCAAGCCCATAAGTCCCGACCACCTCGCTGCCAGAAGCCCCTGTCTTCAAGATCCTACGATGTGACAGAGTCATATCGGAACGCCCAGCCCTCCCCTCCCCTACCAATACGTCGAAGTTCCCCACACGCAGGAACAAGCCACGGAGGAGGAGGGGCAATAGCAACAGTCATGTTTATGGTGGCACTGCTAAATGCGGTGGTGTTGGTAATGGTGGCGTTTGTCTTCGCAGTGGTGGCGGTCAAGGGGGTGATGATCTAGGTCGCCGGGTTGTGGTGATGATGATGGTGCTTGTCCTGGTCGGGGCGCTAAGTAGTAGAACGGTAGCGGCAGCGATCTCTCGCAGGCCGCCAGCGGGAACACCAAGAAGAGGAGAGACATAGGAGCAAAGCGCACAATTTCGATACCAAATGTAATATGCTACGCGTTCCCCTGTCAACGACACTTCGAAATCCGAAACCCATCGGCGACGCGAGGGCCAAGTTAATCAAAGATTGGCGTTGGCTCCCCAGTCGAAGATCTTGGTAGAGGTCACGGTCGCGATGACGGTAATGATGATAGTCATACGAAAGAAGCGCACGGAAACGCACAGGTGGGAAGAAGAAAAAAAAACAATGAAGGAGGAGAGGGAAGAGAAGGATGAGGAGGAGGAGGAGGAAAACTGAGATACTTATCTTGGTGTCGGATCTACAAATATGCTCCCGATGTTGCAGTTGACCGATTGAATTCCACGTTGTGGGGGGGGGCGGAACATTCCAACTTCTACAATTTCAACTGCTTTCAACTAGATTGCGTGTTGCAGATGTGCCTTCAAATGTACTTCTGTGGCGGGGTCTGAATCCCATGTCCTTGTGCAGGGAGGGGCAACCATAGTTCCTTCCTTGACGGTGTTCGGATTTCCGGATAGCTCCTTGGAGAGTTCACTCAGATTAGAAGCCCGCAGGCGGAGCTACGCCAGCCCCTCTCCAAGGCTCCCGGGCAGGCACCCTCGCAGCAGGCTGCTTGAGATTTCGGTTTGTTCTGGGGAGCGTCTTCCCAGATGGCTCTCTGAGAGCTAGGAGGGCCTCAGATTAGAAACCAGCAGCGCAAGGTGGCCTGGAAGCTCTTTCGGCGCCGGACAGGGAGCCTCGCAGCAGGCTGCTTGAAGTCGCAGCGTGTCCCGAGAAGCGTTTTCCTCCTCGTTCCCAACACGCGTGCCTGAAGCCTTCTCGCCTGAAGCCTTCTCCACAGGTCCTTCGCAGTTCCTGCGAAGTTCCGTGGACGCTTGCTTCTCGAAGCTTGCAAGCTCCCCAGGCATGCGTTCCAGCGTCCTTGCAAGCGTCCCCCACAAAAAAAACAAGCGTTTTTGTTGGCCGCGTCGCTATCCTGGTTTGACACGTTCAAAGTTGATTTCGGCTTGACATGTTTTTTTTTCAAAAACAAAAAAAAAAAAAAAAAAAAAAAAAAAAAAAAAAACCTTCGTGGCGGGATTGCCATTGATTCTCTGCTGCGGCTGATTGACAACCGCATTCCGTATTTAAAAGCTCTAGACCTTCCCGGGAGAAGACTCGGGAGATTTCGGTGTTCCTGGTTAGGCGCGTTGTCCACTTATTTAAATTGTTTGGGTTGCTTCGACTGTTGTCACTCGAATATATTTCGCAACGGGTCCACCAGCTCATGCCCGCTTACGACGGACTTGCAACTAGCCTGCCACACTTGGGGTTTTACCTCTTGAACCCTTTTATGTATCGAATGTGCAAGTAAGTTCCTCTGCTGGTGCGCCCAGGAACGGACGTCAGTGAAAAAGGAAAACTACACAAGTGCCCCTCGGTCGGAAGAAGTAGGTAGAACCATGAGGTAGGAAGGCGGCTGGAGTAGATGGGGTTCAGGCCCGCCCAGAGAATCACAGAACGCAGCAAAAGCACAGCGACTCTTGCAGTAGGAAGGCGCTAGACAAGTAGATTGGGCTCTGGGAGCCCAAAAGTACTTCCTTTCATCGGCCGATGGGTAACATCTTCATCACTTTCGAAATGGGTCCAATGAAGGGGCCCTGGGACACACAAATAAATACATGCAAATAACCAGATGTCCCATATTTTTCCATATTTTCTGGGTTTTCGTCTTCCCCCCACACTCTTCATTGTTTCCCCTATTTTCTGGGGAATCGACGATGCGCTGTGTCTGTGTGTGTTTTTTTTTCCTCCTGGTCCAAGACGCGATCGGGGCAGCGCAGGGCGCGCCGGAGCCCCACGTTTTGGGCACCAGCCGGACAGGAGGACACGGCGCAGAGGTGGGAGGAGCCCCGCGGGCGGCGGAGCAGGCTTCGACCGTGAAGATATTGTACGCGCGCGTGTCGTCACGGATGCAGCTCCTGCAGCCGCCTTCAGCCCCCGGCGCCGCTCAGCGCCCCTCGGCGGCAGCTTTGGCAGCCGTGAGTGCGCTCGCTGGATAATTCAGCTCCGCCCGTAGCCCTGGTCGACCCTTGACGCCGCCTGCGCCTTCGCTTGCGGTTGCGCTATACATGTATACATATATATATATATATATGTATATATATGTGTGTACATACCTTATATATATACATGCATAGAAAATATATACATAAATATATATATATATATATATATATATATATATATTCATACATACATACATGCGTACATACATACATGCATGCATGCATGCATGCATGCATGCATACATACATACATACATACATAAGTGTTGAATAATTAAATATAAACAGAAATGTGTGTGTGTCGGCACGGATCGCTCGCGCTGGACCTGCCACCCCCACCGCCTGGCGAATGGGGGAGGCGGGGATTGGGGGGGAGGAGAGCGGAGAGAGGGAGGCTGGCAGGGGCAGAACGGCAGCACACGAGCAGGAGAGAGGCAAGAAAGGAGAGGCCGGGAAACGGAGAGGGAATGGATAAACGGATGAGCAAAGATTCCTCCTCCTTCCTTCTCTTCCGTCTCTTGATGTATTTGTTCCTCCTCCTCTTCCTCCTCCTCCTCTTCCTCTTTTTCCTCCTCCTCCTCGCCCTCCTCCTCCTCCTCCTCCTCCTCCTCCTCCTCCTTCTCCCCCTCCTCCCCCTCCGCGGAAAAGAGGAGGAGGAGGAGCACGAGGAGGAGGGGGAGGAGGAGGAGGAGACGGAGGAGGAGGAGGAGAAGGCGGAGGAGGAGGAGAAGGAGGAGGGGAAGGGCGAGAGGCCGCCGCGGCAGTAGTGACAGGAAGGAGAAGGCGCGAAGAGGAAGGCGAAAAAGGCGAAAGAAAGATGAAGGAAGGACGACGCTTTATAAGTCGGGCGCATCCCTCTCCACGAGGAAGATCCAAAACTTATTATGTTATGTCAAAAGGTCGGGGTGCGATCTTTGGAGTATGTTTTGACTACGTTTGAGCATGTTTGACCATCCTCTATCCTTGCCCCAAATCCGCCTGTAGGAGGACGCGCCCGACCTGGCACGTCAACCGCATGAGAAGCAGCGCTGCAGACCTCGCCTGGCCCCGGCGCCCAGAGCGGTTTTTTGTAGTCAGCGCAAGAACTGAGCGAACCAAAGCTGCACGATCAGCTGCCCGGCCTCGTCCCTGCACTTTGCGAAAGCGGGCATAAAACGCGCGCGGGCGCGGCCGGGTCCGCGAGCGGAAATTGCGCAGATGCCAGCCCCAGGGGAGGACGCGGCCCAGCATGGATCTGCGCGGGACACCACCCCGGCAGGGCCTCCCAATTGCGCAAGATGCCACCCCGCAGACGCAGGTGGTGACAATTACTCAAAATGCCAGCCCCCGGGGAAGGCCGTCTCGTTTTCTGGACGTTCCCAACGGTTTTTCTCATTCAGCCGCGTATCTTTGCATTATATCATGCGTTAAGTGCTTCTGTGTTCTTTATTGTGTCGCCCATTTCTTTTCCACTGTACATATATATATATATATATATGTATGTCTATATACATCTATATATATATATATACATACATATACAATTGTTACTTTGGTTAGTCACATCCTTTTTGGCTCAATATTTCGATAATGTTCCGCCCCCGTCGTGAGTGGGCGATCGCTCTTTACCCAGACCGATCAGAAAGCACGCAGTGGTTCTAGCTAACTACTCCCAGAGCGTCACTGCAACGCTGCTCTGGAAGCTACCCCCAAACGCCTCAGATTCAGGCGTAGTCCTTGCAAACCTTCCCGAACGCCACCAGGCGGTCCTCCTTCATGGTCACGAACCAGCACTGGCACTCATGAGCGCAATGCATCACATCAGATCGACGAACGTGTCGAAGTTTCGCCCATTGCTTGCAGTTGTCGAAAAAGCCGCCCATGTATTGCGCCCCTCCCCATACCTTCTTCCCGTCGGTCTTGAACATATTCGTCCACTCTTCCTTTCCATGGACGACGGCGATCCGCTTCGCTCGATCGCCGAAGATCTTCCTCTCGTTCACAAGGGAACCGTACGTAGCAGCGGAGCCGCTGGAAAGAATGCCAGACTTGAAATGCTGAGTCAAGAACTTCTTGCCCTCTGGGGCGGACAGAGCTGGCGACAGGTGGCACGAACCTCTTGCCGTCGAACTTGATTGTCCCCCCGCTCACCGTCTTCTGCGACCCCTTGATCCTGCACGACTGCTTCCTGATGGGCAGCTGCTCGATCACGATGTTACGGGGCCCGCGAACCAGCGAAGCTATGATGCGAGTGTACGAGAACATGGGCGCTCCTTTCTTGGGGGGCGGGCCTGCGCTGCCACTCGCCACGGACGCTTCGTCGACCTCCACGACGATGCCCTTCCAGCCCTGCTTGCCGAACGACTTCTGGAGTTTCTCCATCCTCGCGACGATGCAGGCCCTGAACTTGCCATACCAGTGGAAGACAGAACTCTCGCCCACTCCGCACAGCTGCGACGCTGGAGTAGCCGCGATACCTTCGGAGAAGCACACAATCAGCCCAACGATCTGTCGCAGCGAAATGCCAGCGCCGCATTCCCAGATGGAACCTTTCCACGCTGATACATAGCCAGAACTTCCACGGCACTTCGGACACCTGTAGTTGGGCACTGCGCCCACTGTTCTGGAGTTTCTTCGCCAACTCGATCGTGTCCATGCTCAGGAGGTTCACAAGGCTGTTCGGGTGGGCCTTGCTTTTCCCCTGATGTCGGTGGGCCTTGCATTTTCCCCGTTGCCCTCCCAGAAGGAGAGGAATCGACGACGACGACGACGACGATCGGGACGGCGAGCCGGCCTCCGCGGCGCAGCCCGCCCGCCGCGCGGACTTCATCAGGGGGAGGAGGAGAATAGTATTCATATTAAGTAATGGAATGGGGGCCCAAGTGCGGCGGCGGAAGTCCGAAAATGAGGCCAGCGCCTCAACGAGAGCAGCATTTTGAAAAAACTAGCGAAAGCCCAACTCACCGGCATCCTGCGTGTAAAAAACAAGTACGCGAGGGGGCGCCTAACACTCCGAAGCCGATTCCTGGACAGACCCAGGGGAGAGAGGAGAGTGGTATTCATTTTGAATAATGGTGAACAAAACGGCTTCGCGGAGGAAGGGGACAGGAAAAAGGGAAGGGGGCTAACCGCACGGACGGGAGAGAATACACCTCTGCTCTGCACCAACGGCCACCAAACATTGCTATTGTCTATAATTTCTATAACTTCTAGAAGCGGATGGCCATCAAGCATTGCTATGTTCAATCATCTCTATAACTTCTAGAAGCGGATGGCCACCAAACATTGTTATTTTCCATAATTCCTGTACTTGCTATCATTGCAGCAACGATGCAGGCGGGCCCGAATGGTTCCGAAAGTAATAGAAGTTATAGAAATCATAGAATTGGCAGCGTTTGGTGGCCATCCGCATCTAGAAGTTATAGAAAATAAAGAAAATAGCAATGTTTGGTGGCCATTCGTTTTCGGAAGTTATTGAACTTATCGAGCATAACAGTGTTTGGTGGCCGCTGATACAGAGCACGAGGAGGAAGCGCAGTTATACAGCACAACCCGATAAAACCGTTGAACAAACACATGTGCTCGCAGCACATACAAACACGATTCACTAAACCAAAACGATGGGAACGTCCAGAAAACGAGACGCCCGAAGGAGGCCGAGGTCCCGCCTGTATCCGCGTGGGACAGCACCCTGCTGGACTGCTGGATTTCCCAGGAGCACACGACCGCGGCGACAGTTGCTCAATTGCCAGGGTTCGGGGCAGGGCGGGGTCCCCGTCTGGATCTGCAAGGACACCACTCCGCTGACCCCCCAACAGCTCGCAGAAGCGTCGACAGTTCGCATCCCCCCAGGGACGGGCGAGGTCCCGCCTGGACCTGCGTGGGACATCACTTCGCTTGATCTCCCAGGAGCTCACGGACGTGGCGACAGCTGCGCAGACGCCAGCCCCGGGGGGGGCAGGGCGAGGCCCCGCCCAGATCTGCCTGGGACGCCACTTCGCTGGACCGCACAGGAGCCCACGACTCAAAAAGGCGACTGAAGCGAAATTGCCAGCCCCCAAAGGAGGCCGAGGTCCCGCATGAATCTGCGTGGGGCCCCACTCCGCTGGACCCCCAAGCAGCCCTCGAACGTGGCGACTGGTTTACAATTTGCGACCCCCTAGGGATGGCGAGGTAGGAGGCAAGCAGGAGGCAGGTAGGAGGCAGGTAGGAGGTAGGCAGGAAGTGAGAGGCAAACAACAAGTAGGAAAGTAGATGAGAGCAGGAGGGAGGCGGGAGGAAGGGCGACGCGACCCCGATGCTCTATTCAACGCAAAACACATCTGAAGGTCGAAAAAACAAGTGAGATCACATCCCATGCGACATATCCTACCCATCTGCAGCAATTGAAAGGAGTACTTCGCCGAAACTCCTTCGGATGATGGCACGGCGAGGACCGTCCATTGGTCGTGAACATTACATGGGAGACCCACACCTGGACCTGCGTGGGACACCACTCCAGTAGACCCCCAAAAGCCCACGAAAGCCACGACCGCTGCGCAGATGTCAGCCCCCGAAGGAGGCCGAGCTCCAGCCTGGATCTGCGTGGGACGCCACTTCCCAAGAATCCACCTGGAGCACACGAAAGTGGCACCCACTGCGCACATGCCAACCCCCAGGGGATGGCGAGGTCCCGCCTGGATCTGCGTGGAGAACCACGCCGTGGACCTCCCAGGAGCCCACGCAGGTGGAAACAGCTGCACAGATGCCATCCCCCGAAGGAGGACAAGGTTCCGCCTGGATTTGCGTGGGACACCATTCCACTGGCCCTTGCGGCTACCCGCGCAACTGGCGACAACTGCGCAGACGCCAGCCGACCTGAGGGCAAACTCCCGCTTGGATTTGCGCGAGGCACCACTCCGCTGAACATCCCAGGAGCCCACCGAAGTGACGACAGCTTCACACTTCGCAGGTACGAGGAAGACAGAAGCTAGGTAGGAGGCTGGTAGGATGTAGGAGGCAAGCGGAAGCTAGGAGGCTGATAGGTGGTAGGGAACAGAAAGAGAAAAGAGGAGGGAAGCGGGAAGGAGGGCGCGATCCCGATGTTCAATCGAAACGGAAACCCGACGTTGGATAGGGAAACAAATGAGCAGGGAACTCGAAGAGTTTCTTTCGCGTCGGGATTACAAATCACATACGATTGTTCCCCACATCCAAAGTGGGGCTCTTGTTTTCTCTGCACACCCCGCGCAGGAACACTCACCCCACCCCCTCTCCTCTTTTGCCTTCGCACACTCATTCACTCACTCATCATCATCACCACTCACTCACACTCACACTCACTCACACTCTCTCATCATCAACATCAGCATCATCACTCGCGCTCTCTCACACGCTCAGTCACTCACATACTCATCATCATCATCATCATCATCATCATGATCATCACTCGCATTCTGTCACACGCTCACTCATTCACATACTCACCTGGAGGAAGTCTCAGGCGGGAGTTCGTCTGTGAATGAATTGTGAGGAAGTCTCAGGCGGGAGCCCCCTCCCTATGGGGCCCGCAGATCATGTTGGTAATCCGAGCGGGTCATCCAAACCCTGTAACTGTCGTCACTTTTGGGCTCCTCAAGCTTGAATACGGAGGAATTCTCAGGCGGGAGCTTTGTCTGTGAGTGAATTGCGAGGAAGTCACAAGCGGGAACCCCTCCCCATGGGGCCCGCGCTTCATGTTGGTAATCCGAGCGGGTCATCCAAACCCTGTAACTGTCGTCACTTTTGGGCTCTTCAGGCCTGAATTTGGAGGAAGTCTCAGGCGGGAGCCTCGTTTGTGAGTGAATTGTGAGGAAGTCTCAGGCGGGAGCCCCCTCCCTATGGGGCCAGCAGATCATGTTGGTAATCCGAGCGGGTCATCCAAACCTTGCAACTGTCGTCACTTTTGGGCTCTCGCGCTGCCAGAACGCCATTCCCGGGCCACATTGTGCATGCCCGGAGCCAACTGTAAGCCACTTCGTGTTTTTCGTGTTCCCAGAACACCACTCCCGGGCCACATTTTGAAACCCCGGAGCCAGCTGTAG